AAAAGTAAGCTGTGCTTTATTCATTCTATAATGTCTCTCATATAAACTCAGCTTCCAACTATCAAATTATTAATGCTTCTGCCACTAAAATACACTTTCTTCATCCAGATTCATTTGTTACTGGGGATTGGACCTAGGTTCTTTGCACAGAGCTATATATCCCCAGCCAGCCTACCTTCCTCTCTCTCTCTCTCTCTCTCTCTCTCTCTCTGTCTCTCCCACCCCCTCTTTCTCCCTTTTTTTCCTTTTGAGACAAGAGTCTTGCTAATTTACTGAATTGCTCAGGCTGGACTTGAACGTTCTGGGATTATAGGGTGCACCACCATTCTTAGCTCTCCATTCAATTTTTCACTCTCTTAAGTCCATGGACAAATTTTCAGTTATAACTTCCTCTCTAAGAACGGTGAGCCATCCTGAGTTATTTAACGTACCATATTAATATATGTATATTTTTGGGCAGATCGATTTGGTGCAGGGGATCAAACCCATAGCCTTGCACATGCTAGGCAGGGGTTCTACCACTGAGCTACATCCCCAACTAAAATATATTTTTGATTTACCTTGCTTGAGCAATGAAAGAATTAATAATATGAACAATGTAGAGTTAACACCAGCCATTGGTTGTGGAGAACTTTTTACAATCAAGACTATCAGAATTATCTTATATATGTTACTTCATTTTATCTTTAAAAAGGGCCAATCAGTCACAGCTGATATCACTAACCCAGACATTAACTACCAGACACTGAGCTGTGTTTTGTCATCATTGTCTCTGTTGCTTCACAACAGCGCTGCCGGTATTGTTCCTATCCCCATTTTACGGTTGAGTAAAGTGAGGTTGCAAGAGTTGGATTAGTTGTTCAAGTGTGGTTATTAAGTAGTGTGTAGGTTTAAGATCCTCGGCCTTGTGCTTCCAGTGTACTATATACTGTGTATTTTAAAAAGTCTTTTGCCATTTACAGATGGAGGAACTGAAGTAAGTGTTTAAAACAATTTATCCGAGGTTGCATGGCCGTCCAGGGGTCAAGAAAGAATGTGGGCTCCTGTCTTTCTTGCCACAGGGTCCAAACTGTTGAGCTCGCCTTTCAAAGATTGTCTCTATTCTCTTGTGATTTGTGAAGTTTGTATGATTAAACTATTTGTTGCTCATAGGAATTTTCTCTTTCAACTCTGATAAGGATATACATTCCAAATCCCATTCTAAATGTTTAAAATGTCTCTACTGGGAAGAAAGTCCTAAAGTTGTTGTAGCTTGAACAGATAATATTTCCATCTGTCACATTTGTGGATACCACATGGAGTTTTATATAATGTTTTTGTTTGGTCCTGGAGGCATAGATTAATTTTTACTTCCTAAGGGCAGAGAGTCTTGCATTCTGTTGAATTTCTAACTTCTGAATAAGGATAAAAATTCAAATAAATAAATAAGTTAGTGTCCATTGTATCTAAAATAATAGGCACACTTCAAGTGAGAAGATGATGAAAATCAAAAGGTAAGGACAATCAGGAGCAAGGGTAAGCCAGAATCTGTCTGCATTGCAAACGCCCACTGGTGGGCCAAGTCTCCATGAACTGTCACTGCTTCTTGAAAACTTCCCCTGGTCCTTCCAGATGCAGTGGAAGAGCTTTCAGGGCTGTTCCCAGAAATCCATCCTAGCTGTTAGTCAATTTCATTTTAAATATTTACTTTGACTGCTTTCCACCAGACCCCATACTTCTTAAAATCAGGAACTGAATTTTATTAGCTTTGTGTCCCTAATGCCTCAGACATTTCAATCATGTTCAGATATTCATCACGTCAGTTTCTGGTGAACAGATACTTACTGAGCATTTATACATCCCAGACACTCAGCCAGGCAGTGGCCTTGCATGTAAAACAATGGAAAGAGGAGCATATAGCCAAGAGTGAACATTGAGCTGGGAGTCTGAAAAACTGAATTCAAATTCTGTGCTTTCTGCTAATTCAGTGATTGATCTTAGACAACATTCCTGCTTCTTAGTTGGCTAAAAGGAATATCTGAATTCAAAGACTTCTGAAGTCTCTCAACTCTGCAAGTCTACTTCATTATTATTCTCCCAGGTGTAAGTGTGCAAATGCATAGAGAACCATGTCTGATGTATATTAGGCTCACAGTGAGGCCAAAATAGTTGTCAGGGGAGATCCTGAACATGCAGGAATAAATTTCCAGGAATCTAAGAATTCTAAAAGGTGGTATGGGTTAGGGCCAAGAAAAGCACATTCCAGAGTGTTCTTAGGCCTATAAAAAGAGTGAAAGACAACAACGCGGCTTAGAAAAATACTAGCAGAGCAGAAAGAGGAGAGGATAAGCCTGAAAATTGAGTGGGCTGTGTATGGTATAGTGTTACACATGTTGCACAAATCAGGAATCTTCTCGGTCAAAGAGAAAGAGCTTTTGGCTGAAAAGCATAGAATAAACAAGGGTAAGGGCAGGATAAATGAAGGTAATGGTAAGACTACTGGATGAAGGCAAGAGACTACATCCCTCTGTAGCAAGAAAAATGGCAAATGAGATCCACAATGAATCTCAGATTCTTATAAGGTAGCTAAGGCCTGGACCTGGTCCAGCAGTGTCCTGGCTTGCACGTTGAGGAAGAAGGTATTTTTTGCAAATTTTAAATTGGTGATCTTGATGCATCTTGCTAGTAAAATTGTGGCTGGTTTATGAGCACTGCCAATAGAAAAACAGACAATCAATAGGTATCCAAAAGTTAGGATTCATACAGCATTTCTTTTTTAACTTGGCTCTTGACAAAAATCATATATCTTTTGGGGGAATATGGAAATATGCAGTGTGGTGCACTCTCCAATTAAGGTTATTTATAACTAGTTGAATGACTTCATCAAAAAGGTACTGCTCAGTCTCTTCTGCAGGCCAGGAAACCTATTTTGAACCCTCTTACTGCAACGCAAGGTATCTGTTTTTATGAATTGTATGAATGAATGCATAAACTGATAAACAATGCCCATAGAGGATCCTGGCTGTCTGGAATACAACAGCACAAGAATAGAATAGAATAGAATAGAATAGAATAGAATAGAATAGAATAGAATAGAATAGAGTACAGTAGAGTACAGTAGAGTAGAGTAGAGTAGAGTAGAGTAGAGTAGAGTAGAGTAGAGTAGAACTTTGTTCTGTGCTTTCTTCAACTTTCAAAAGTTTAGGCGAAGCTCTGGAAGTCAGGTTTGTAATATGTGCAGAGGAACAAGAACTGGGAAGCACAACACGATTTTTGGAAAACAAATTCAGGATCCAAAGAGGTTGATAAGCACAAACTCTGCCCCAGTTAGCAAGATGAAATTCAGTGTTGTAGAATTCTCCAGTTGGGTTGTTAAGGACATGCATCCTCTTGCTTCCTGCCAAGGATGATAGCAAAGAGGAAGAGAATGGAAGGGTGTGTGATCTCTTGGGGTTGCATCTGCAGATGCTGAAAGGAATTTGGACAGATGTGAGAGGCCAGTTGCTTACCCAAAGTTAGGCCTTCAATCTTATGCATGCATAAGACTAGCTTTTCTCAGATGGTCACTAATTTGAGAAATGCAAGTTGACTTGGTCCACAGTTATAGTTTTAAAGGCAGAAAAGCATTCTTTAGGGTATAGTGTTACACCAGAATAGAAATCAGAATAAGAAAAAAGACTGGAAAAGAAAACTCAAGTGGAAGAAAATATGGAGGCCCATCCCAGACTCTGACTCTAGAAGAACACAGGGCCAGATGCCACCACCCCTGTCCTAGCTATGCGACCCTCGGTAAGTTACCTAAACTCTCAGGGCCTCAACTTTCTCATCTGCAGAATGGAGAGTCACATTATTAGACCCACCTCCAGAGTTATTGTGAGAATGTTTTTGCACTTAGAGCACTTAGATCAGTACCTGACCATAGGAAGTGTGGGATAGCTATTGCTATTTTTATTCTTAAAACTTAGAAGTTCACTGTGACTTGTTGCAATAAGGAAGCAGTTAACAGGGTCTCTACAACCCCTGCTACCAAAATACACAAAATAAAGCAGGAGTAGAAGTGTAGGATGGAGGCCACGAGGCTCCACAGCATAAATAATAGAGGGGATTTAGTAGGTTTTGTGCATGCTAAACACTGTGGACCAGCTGGGACTGCAGTGTAGAGACGAACAAAGCCTGTGGACTCATTCGCTCTGGTTTCATGGCTTCTCTAGGCTTCGCTTAAACTGCCTCTGGTATCTCATGTGGTTTCCCAGTGTCAGTCCTTCACGACTGCTTTCATCTACTGGTTGAGACTGATTTTCCCAAATTCATGACAACAGTATTTGTGTCATACTCTAACTCCACGGCAGATGCCTGTGAAAGCCAAGCATTCAGCAAGGGTGTGTCCCCTGCCCAGCCTCTTTCCTGTTGTCCCCAGCAGTGTGAACAGGCCACACTCCTGTCCCCAGCTTGAGTTCTTTCCCTGGACCATCTCTGAAAGGATGCCAATGTGATTATTCACTGTGATCAATGTGAAAATCCTGCTGCCTCCTACATGAAGCCTGCTGGAAAGGTTCTCCTGATTGAACCTTCCTTCCCAGGAGCCCCTCGGGCTGTTTACCTAAGGGGCATCAGCTCTTCCATTGGGTTTCAAGCTCTTTGAAGCAGTGACTGAATTCCTTCACCTGTACTTTTCCCTTGAGGTCTAGTTTGGGTCCTTGAGAGATAATAGAGGCTCTTGTCCAGTATCGAATGTTGTGACCCACGTTAGTGAAGGGGACTGGCACCAGACCTCAGTGTGATGATGTGTGGGAATCCTGGCCAGGTAAGCCTAGCCGAAGAAACTGTATGATTCCCTCATTCCTCCTGTTCTCTGTTTTGTTTCTGAACTGCTGTGGATCTCATTTTCTATAAATTTTTGACACTGTTAAACTACCCTGCTTCTTCCTGTCTAGTTCAATTTCCTTACAGTGCTGGCTCACATAGAAAGCCAGCCACTCCCTGCTCTATCCCAACTGCCTATACTCATATCATTCTTAAAATATTTTCTTCGGTTCCAGCTCCCTTTTCTCTGTCAACTGAGGAATGGAAAATGGCAGTGCCAGTAGAAAATGTTTTAACAAGTGGTAGAGGACTGGAATTCTGTATGGAATGCAATTCATTGTGGTTGCTGAACCAAATGAAAGGCTTTTGCCTTTGTTTCCCTTTCTTTCTGAAATCTATTTATTCAGAAAGATTTCAGAGCAAATCCTTATCCAGCCATATGGAAATAATTGGGTTAGATGGCTGCTATCTAATTTAAGTATTTTCTTCAAACATTTGGAACTAATTTGGGTTCAAGAAAGCATAGGTTGACACTATGCTTCATTTTAGCCAAGTTTTGGAAGAAGTTCTAAAATGTAGCATGCATACTCTGAAAAATTTCATAGACTGGATCTATAGGTTATAATTTAGTTTGTCCTTCCAACATTAAATTATTTTAATCCTAGTTATAATTTCACTAAAGGCTGACTTTACTCACCAGCTTGATATAGCTGCACACACCATCCACAACCCTGTTATTTAAACACAATTCAGAGATCATAAGTAGGAATTCAAAAAGAGAGCTCAATTCTGCAAGAAGACATTTGATGCCCTCTCAGAAATTTGCCAAAGACCTTGTGGCTCTTAAAATATCCTTTATTTCCCTACCAACCAAACTTGGCAGTTTGAGGATTATTCATAATAAAACAAGACATTTTATCAACTCACAATATGTAGCTTTTTGTTTGGGAATTAAGTTTGTTCATTATTATTTTTGACTAGAAATGTGTGCAGTAATACAATGGTCATCCAGCAAATTCTAGGAAAAAAAATTACTCCTTTATTCAGAATTCTAGCAAATATTTCTTGGATACTGGCTGTGTGCAGGGTACAATAGTGAATGTTTCTGATGAAAAAGAAAAGAATTACATTTGATTTTTGACCACAGAAGCGGAAGGATGAAAACATAATATGTCAAGTGCCATAAAGAAATCTTGCTCAAATGCTCTGAGGAATGAGAGCCTGCATGGACTGTGGGCTGTGGCCTGAGTCATCCAGAGGACATGTTGTAAAGGAAGTGGAATATGAGTTTTGATGACCAGCCAGAGGTCAAGATGCAAAGATGGCGGCTGCTTGGGAAGCGATCTGGACAGGACTACTGGGACATTCTTAACAAGGGCTCAGAGCTGAGGATGAGTGAGAAGCAGTAAATACTGGTTGGGTTTCAGTTGCATGCAAATTAAAGCAAACAGAGGTAAGGTTAGACTTAGTGGGTCTGGAACCCCAGATTAAACTCATGTAGTGTGAAATATTCCCCCCATTAATCCACTTGTTGAACCATTTCAGATGTACGTCACAGAACAGTTAATCTGCCATGTGCTTATAAGCTTGATTGTAAAATAAGAGAAACTACATTTTGGAAGAGTTATCTTGTGACGTTGGGAGGTTATTCTGACAGTCAATGTGGAGTTAATAAAAGCTGCACTGGGCTGGATTGGAACAGAGAGAAGAAGATAAGAGTTAGGACCTGCTTGGAAGAGGGGAGGAAGTGGAAGGGGAGGAATTAAGGATAACTGTGAAGAGCCAAGCCTGGGAACTGACCCCGTTAAGAGTCAGACAAGCCAAGAGAGACAAACAGCTGGTGGAAGGTGAGTTCGACTTTGCTAGTGGTGCATAGATATCCATGTGTTCCCCAGGGGGCAGTTGAAAGTGTGAAATTGAAACTCAGGATATGACCTGGAATGTAGACCTGGGACTCATCAGCATAAAGGAAATAGTGGAAGGTGTAGGAGTGGATACGAATGTGCAGGAGAGTGGGGCAGAGGAGGCAGCCAAGACTGGGCCTGCGGGGGAAAGGTGGTTTACCCTGAGGTATGGGAAGAAGAGCCAAAAATGCAATCACATCATCTGAGCTCAAGGCAGAGGTAGAACTTGGTGTCATCAAAGTCTGGGGAAGAGAGTTTGAAGAGAGGAGGGTGGTAATATGCATGGGAGCAGAGAAAGAAGGAAGATGAAAATGGGGCAGGGCACGGAGGCCTGAAGAGTTCACTGATGCCTTTCCCGAGAGTGCCCTTACAAGCCCAGACTGCCGAAGTGCATCCTCTCTGTAAGCGTGGGGTTTATATTTGGCCTGTTACATACTCTGTAGTATTCCATCTTTTTAAAATAACTAAAATGATGATAGGTGTGTGTGTGTGTGTCTGTGTGTGTAGAGAGAGAGAGACAGAGAGACAAACAGAGACAAAAAGATGGATTTGTGAGTAGGCCGCTACTTTATATAGTGTGATAAAATTATTTAGAATATACCTTCAGTTCACATTTCACCAACACTAGGAACACTTCATTCTGCCAAAAAACGAAATTTCCAGAAGCTTACATTAGTCCATCAACAAAACTTCGCTCAAAGATGTGTCCCTTAAAGACATATTCTTCTGTCCCATTTAATCACATGAAACAGCAATAGCGACAGAAATCTGATGCAAGCAGTCCTTGAACTGAACCGCTGAGCCTTCCCCAGGAACGTATTTGGGTCATCGCCTGTTTTCTTTCTTTTCAGAACAAAGGCCAAGCTATGATAGCCACCGGTGGGGTGATCACTGGCCTGGCAGCCCTGAAGAGACAAGACTCGGCCCGATCCCAGCACCATGTCAACCTCAGCCCCTCTCCCGCTGCCGCCGAGGAGAAGAAACCGGTCAGGAGGCGGCCCCGGGCCGACGTCGTGGTTGTTCGTGGCAAAATCCGGCTTTATTCCCCATCTGGTTTCTTCCTCATTTTAGGAGTGTTTATCTCCATCATAGGGATAGCAATGGCTGTCCTTGGATATTGGCCCCAGAAAGAACATTTCATCGATGCTGAAACAACACTGTCAACAAATGAAACTGAGGTTATTCGGAACCAGGGCGGTGTGGTGGTTCGTTTCTTTGAGCAGCATTTACATTCTGATAAAATGAAAATGCTGGGTCCTTTCACCATGGGGATTGGCATTTTCATCTTTATCTGCGCGAATGCCATTCTGCATGAAAACCGCGACAAGGAAACCAAAATCATACACATGAGGGACATCTATTCCACAGTCATTGACATCCACACACTGAGAATCAAGGAGCAGAAGCATTTGAATGGCATTTACTCTGGCTTGATGGGGGAACTGGAAATGAAGCAGAATGGGAGCTCCTGTGCCTCGAGATTGGCAGGAAATACAGTCACCTCTTTCTCAGGTTTGCGGGGCAGCTTTCGGACGAATAGCTCTGTGGAGGAGGATGAACTCGTGCTCGGTGACAGTAAGAGTCTGGGGCAGCTCATGCCTCCTCTGCTCTCTGACAGCTCTGTCTCAGTCTTTGGCCTTTATGCACCTCCTTCCAAGGCAGCTGACGACAAGACCAGTGGCTCTAAGAAGTGTGACACCAAGTCCATCGTGTCATCGTCTATCAGTGCTTTCACACTGCCTGTGATCAAACTTAATAACTGTGTCATTGATGAGCCCAGTATAGATAACATCACCGAGGATGCCGATAACCTCAAGAGCAGTTCAAGGAATTTGTCAATGGATTCCCTTGTGGTCCCTCTGCCCAACATGGGCGAATCCTTCCAGCCCGTCAGCACGGGGCTCCCGAGGAATAATTCTATTGGGGAGTCACTGTCCAGCCAGTACAAGTCCTCTGTGGCCCTCGGACCTGGGGCCGGACAGCTATTGTCACCTGGGGCTGCTAGAAGACAGTTTGGTTCCAACACCTCCTTGCATTTGCTCTCCTCACACTCCAAATCCCTAGACTTAGAGCGGGGACCCTCCACCCTAACTGTTCAGGCTGAACAGCGGAAACATCCCAGTTGGCCTCGGCTCGATCGGAGCAACAGCAAAGGATATATGAAACTGGAGAACAAAGAGGACCCGATGGATAGGTTACTTGTGCCCCAAGCAGCAATCAAAAAGGACTTTACCAATAAGGAGAAGCTTCTTATGATTTCAAGATCTCATAATAACTTGAGTTTTGAACATGATGAGTTTTTGAGTAACAACCTAAAGCGAGGAACTTCTGAAACAAGGTTTTAATGTTTAAAACAATATCATTTTCCAAGGCTATATATTTTAAAACTGTTTTTACCAGTGCTTCCTTCTTAAAGCATTGGCTATAAGCTTTTTAAAACAAATGTTTTCTGATGTACTAGAACTGGCTGCATAATTCTGTAATGGAGATGGTTGTATGTTTAGGCTATGATTCTGTTTTTTTCCATCTTGGAAAGCATGATCTTTTTTTTCCAGTATGAATACAAAATGTTTGCATCCCAATTAAAACTGTGCTTTACTTTTAAGTTCTTCCATTGATTGTCATATTCAGAGAATGAAAGATTCAGTAGGGTCCCCAAGTGTGAACTAGAAGTACCAAATTCAGGCCCAGTACTCAGTATATATTTATAAATGAGTGTAAATGTAATTCTTAAAATGCAGTTTTCTGAATAATTGCTTTACTGTTGAAGAAACAGATCTAAATACTTGAATTGACCAATGGGTTTAGTTCTATGTAAGCTCAATAATAAGACTTGGGTAAGTTGGTTGTGACTGTTACTATGAGTTCCAGGTAGATCATATTTTTTCAACATTAGTTTTGCTTCAGTGCTGTTTTCATCAAGAAATAATGTATTCAAGAGCCATGGCTGAGAATGCCAGATGTACTTAATGGATAAATGTAAAAAATCCATTAACTATAACTTTAGATATTCAGAATTATAATTTCTTTGCAAACCGACTTAAAAATGAATAAACCAGTGTGGTTTGTAGAAATGCTATTTTGAAGTCACATATGGAAGAAAATGTTGACCAATGTATGAAGACACATTTTATGCTGGTTAATGATAGCTAATCTCAGTACTGTTTCCCAGGCATCTGTCACCATCCAGTCTGCACTTATCCGCACATCCTTATTCCCCTAAAATAGGTTTAGATCCTGTTATTTGGAAAATAGTAAGCTAACCTTGACATTTCTTTTTAATCTTCTCATACCACCAGCTTGGTGGGTCAAGAAAATTTAGTCCTTGATAAATTGCCTTGAAATGAACCTTGTACTAGAAAACCTTAGGCCCACTCCAAAGATTTGTGGTATAATAAACTTAGAATTGTAGTCTTTGCTTATTGAAGATACCAAAATGGATATATCCATCAGAAAATTTAATGTTTTCCATTAAGGTGATATAATGTTAAGAACTGTTGAATGGATTACTCAGGAAATTTTAATGGTTTTTCCCAAGGCCTAAACATCTCTGAGCGTCAGGGTTTCAGTGGTGGAAGGGCAGAAGGAAGATACGTTTGTACATGAAGCTCCCACAGCTCTACCCTGTGATTCCATCACGAGCGTCCCTTACCTACTTATGCTACCTATTAGGACATCAAGCCTGTATATTGTCACAGAGTGGGCTCAATATTTTACTATAAAGCCTTTAATAAAAATCTCTTCTTGATAGAATTTTCTCTTCTTCATACTTTTGCTGTTCTCAGTGCCACTTACAGTTCTGCTTCTAGTACTGTTTTCCAAACTTTCAGGTACATTTTATTGAGGCTTTTGACACTCCAGTACTTGTACTAGGAGCTATGGCTTTTTAATTTTGCTTCTATTAGGTTCAAGAGCTAAGAGGTTGAAGTCACTTGTTCTATTAGGCTATTTTCATATTTTGTTGACTTTCAGGAGAATAACTGAACACAGCATTCAGCAAATGTCAGCAACATTCCCAGATTTGAAAACAATGGCTCTCAACACCCCTGTTGTGACAGATAACTAAAGCCATGCAATTTGCTCAGTTCTCCCCAAAAAGGGCTCTAAAATTTTGAAGGGGATTAAACAGCATGGGCCTTGGAGGATCCAAATAAAGAAACTGGGGACTTAGAGCAGTGGTTCCTACTCAATTTCTCTTCATCAAAAAGTCTGAGTTTTTATTTACCAAACAAATCAGCTTTCTTATTAAATGATAAATAATTTTCAAATCTTTTAATTAATCGAAATCATAAATTGCTAATTGAAGTTTCAGATTAATGTGGGATAGCTTGTGCTACCGTATTGATTGGGTGTAATTCCACCTAGACGAAAAATAAAAATGAAACCTGAAGTTTTTGTTAGACCATATTTTGTGTACTTTCCTCAGGTTTTTTGGAATATTGAAAATTATTTAAGAAACTTTATAGCTTCCTCTGGGCAACTCCAGAAATCTAGATCACAGGCTACGTATCTCCCACCCAAGCAGCATCTAAGGCCCATGGTCCATCTAGGGTGGATTAGTTTGCTCAGTCAGACTGTGCAGTTTAAATAACAGACATTTATTCTTTCACCATTCTGGAGGCTGCAAGACCCAGGTCAAGGTGTCATCAGGATCGGTGTGTTCTGGGAGCTCTGCTTGGCCTGCAGATGGCCTCCTGTCACTGCGTCCTCACAGGTCTTTCCTCTGTGCATGCCCATCCCCTGCACTCTTTTTATAGGACACCAGCGATATTGGATTAGGTTCCTCCCATAGGACTCACTTAGCTTTAATTACCTCTTTAAATAGCCTGTCTCCAAATATGGTTACCCTCCGAGGTACAAGAGGTTGGGACTTTACCACAGGAAATTTAGGGGAACACAATTCAGCCTACAGCGTCACATGGCCGAGTGTCCGTCAACGACAGGAGGTGAGAAAAGCACAATATGCCTCCAATGGCTTTGCCACCTCAATTATGTAGCCTTGAGCAAATCATTTACTTTCTCAGTTTATTTCTTAATGTCACAGCAGATCTTGGATTCCTCAACTGTGGCACGAGATGAAAAAGAAAGTGAACTACCAAGTTCTTCCTAACCATCAAAGTCCAGGGTTCTTGGTCCCCTCAGGTGAAGATCCACTGCCTGTCAATGTCTCTGCAGCGGGAACTGCGTTGGAGGAGGGTGGCTAACCTTGTAGGTACTGAAGCCAGATTTTGTGGGGATAAGTACAAGCTCTGCCATTTCAGTTGATTGGCCTAGGGCATGGCAGTCACTGGCTGAATGTGCCAGAGAGCTTCTGCAGCAAATCTTTCAGTCGGTACCAAGGTGTTCGTGCCCTGTTTCTAGGACTGGAAATTAAATGAGTTGATGGATCCAAATGGTGCCATGGCAGGAACATAGTGAGCATTACCATGGAAATGCTGTTACTCTCTGAAAGTGTCACGTGCAAGCTTTCATTACCTTGACCCAAGCCTACCTTACCCCCCGAGTATTTAGCTGCAGCAGGGTGGATAATGGACCCTAAATCATGCCCATGTCCCAATCCTTGGAACATGTGAATGCCGCCTTATTTGGCAAAATAGACTTGCAACCTTGGCGACATTAAGGACCTTGATATGGGGAGATGATCTTAAATTATTCCAGTGAGCCCAGTGTAATCATAGGGTGCTGATAAGGGGGAGATGAAGGGAAATTTGACGACAGAGGTGGTGATGTGACCAAAGAGAAATGCAAGATGTCAAGTGCCTGACTCTGAAGATGGAGAAAGCGGCCATGAGTTGAGATATAAACTCTACGAAGTGGAGACAATAAGGAAACAGACTCTGGCCGCACAACCTCAGAGAAACCAGCCCTGCTGACACTTTGACTTTAACCCAGTGAGACAGATTTGGGCTTCTGGACTTCTAAAACCGTAAGAGAATAAGTGTGTGTTGTTTTAACCCATTAAATTTGTGGGAATTTGTTACAGCAAACTAATGCAAGACATGATCAAAATATGCAATGAATATTTACGTTTCTAAAAATTTATTACAGTGAAAGATACAGTGTCATTAACGCCCTGAAGTAGTACTCCCTCCTCATTTGGAACACATTTATCCCATTGTTCTTGCCACTTTCTGAAGCAGTTCTGAAGTCCTCTTTTGCATGTCTTCATGAAATGTGATCCAAAATGTGGTGAATGCAGTTGCTGAGTCCCCTTCACTAAAAAGGCAGGTGCGTGGAAACATTCTTCTAGGTCTTCATCCACCTTATTCACTGGATCTTGCACCATGCAACTTCTGGATCTTCCCCAAAGTCAAAATGACCATGAACGGTAAGTATTTTAAATCATTTCAGGACATCGAGGCAGCCGTGACACCACAGCCAACTACATGCACTAACGAGGGCTTCAGAAAGTGGCAAGGACAATGGGATGAGGTTTGAAGCGAGAGGGAGTGTACTGCGGGGGGTTAATGGCAATGCGTCTTTTACTGTGCTGTGTTTTAAAACTGTGAACGTTCCCTGTATATTTCTGTCACAACTCGTCCATCTCTCCCATCCAGAGGACTCCTTCAGAACCCTGACCCAGTCTGCGGGAGGGGTCAAAGGCATCCACGGTGCGAGATGGTACTTGACCTCATCTACAATATCTGACCAACTGTAAATTTTACACTGATGATCTCTTTTTAGCACTGATCTTCTTATTGTAAGTATAATTTTTAAAGGAAGTATAATTTCTCTGAAGCAAGAAATGTTCATTTTTGAGAGCTGGTAAAATATATTAAATCCTATATTTGGTTAAGAACAGCCATCAACTGTGAAGGCTTTTAGGCTCAAATATGTGCTTCCAGCTGCATAACTTAGAAGAAGCAATGGTAATCTAAGTAGAAAGAAAAACATTTTTAAGTACAAGTTTATATTCTGATGGATATACTAGCACTTAACAGTTTACTAGATAAAGATAAATCTCGAGTTAACTTGTTTTAGCAGGTCAAATTTCTCCTCTTAAACCCACTACAGAAATACACATATCATCGATGACTAAAAGAAACATTTTAAAAAGTAAAAGAGCCGGAGATTTAGCTCAGTGGCACTGCACCTGCCTCGCAAGTGCAAGGTCCTGAGTTCGATCTCTGGTACAGAAAAAAAAAAAAATTACTTGAGTCCAGCCTGGGGAACGTAGCAACTTAGAAAGAGCCTGTCTCAAAATAAAAAAGGGTTTAATCCCTAGCACTAAATAAATAAATAAATAAATAATATTACAGGCTAGGCCTGGCCAGTGATCTACCTGCCCAGTGTGATATGCAGGCTGTTCAAAGATCTTAGTCAGTTGTTCTCCAGTACTGCTTGTGAGGGTAGGGCATGGGCTATCCTGCCTCTCACTTTCAGTGAACTTCAGTGTTAGCCGTCACCCCCTCTAAGTAGTGGTATTTTAGACCTTAGATCAAGGTTTTCCAATGTACAACCTTGGTACTCGATTACTAGAAAACTCTGTCTTTAATCCCCTCATCGATGAGTAAAGTTGCTTGTGATCTGATTTCAAAATGAAATAACTCATTGACCTCTTTCTATATGTGGCTTCTCCTTGTATAACGGTACAAAAGAGAAGGCACTTCACAAAAGTCCCTTTTACTTAATAGATATTGCCTTAGCTTTTATTACTATTCAAAAAGATTTAAAACTTCATTTCTTTGCCAGGGAAACTCTAGGAATCTGGAACATGGGCCAGCTGCTTCCAGCCTAAGTAGTTCCTAAGGCCAATAAACTACTGTACCTAGGGTGCATGAGGTTGCTAGAGCTGCTAGAACAAAACAGCACACTGGGTGGCTGAACAACACAGTTGACTTCTCACAGCCCTGGAGGTTGGAAGTCCAAGGTCAGTTGCTTTGGTTACTCCCAAAGCCCCACTTCCTGGCTTGCAGACAGCCACCTTCCTGCTCCCATGGTCCTGCCCAACCCTGGTGTCTCATTCTGCTTCTGAATTTCCTCTTCTTATTAGTGTCCGCCATAACAGCTACATTTTAAACTTAGTCACTTTGATGATGTCCCTGTCTCCAAATTCAGTCACATTCTGAGGTCCTGGGAGTTTGGGTTGCAACAGAAGAGTTGGAAATGGGGTGCCTAATTCAACACTGTGCCATTGTACTTTAAAAACTCTATGTCTGTCCAAACATAGAGCTTGTGAAAGTGACAGAATTAGGTCAATCAGACTTTCAGTGGCAGCTGGCTGATTCTTCTTCGTGAAACACATTTTAGATAAGCTAATTTACATTTATATTTCACTACCAGTGTACACTAAGAGAAGTAACAAAGAGGGTATAGGAAACATATATACATAGGATCTTGTTATTCCACACCTCAAGGTGATTTTCAGCAAACTGGGAAGAATGTATAATCTCCAACCTGATGTATTGTTTTTATTGCTTCCCTTTTATTGCCTAGCATGAACGGGACCCCAGGCTTGCTCCCCAGCACCTCAAAAATCGAAAAATAAGAAGGAAATATTGAAGGTGTAAAAGAGTATACTACGGACCAACAATAGAGAAGGCACATACCTTGGAATGGGAAGTTTTAGTATTTATTTCATACTTTGATTCCTATGTTTTAATGTGTTAACTGTTGATGCTGCCATGAAAATTATGTCGTGAAGCCCTCCCACCTTATTATGTTATCTTTCAACAAGAAATATGGAACTAAAATGAGACATTTCCATCCATATTCAGTAAACCACACATACAGAAGGAAGACCAGGAGAGTGGGATTTGGTAGATAGGAGAGCAGGAGAGAATGCCATATGTGTTCCTGCTTGTTGAAATCCTATGCACAGCAAAAGGCGTTCCATTTAGACTTATTTTGGAATAAAACTAAGTTCATAATTTTAATGATTGAGGTGAGAAACTATTCTTTGTTGATTTTAAAATACGTTTTAGTTGGCATTAGCAGTGTTTATTATCCAACTCATTTGTGTAAGTCACCCCGAGGGAAACTAAATTAATCATTAATTTAGAATTGTCAACTAAAAAGTCATCAATACCTCAAAGCTATTTAAAACAATAGTAAAATCACTTTTTGTGCACTCAGGTATTTTCTACGTTTGTTAGATATATTTTTTCCTAAAGCATTTCCAAATTCCATATGTGTTACCTTGTGTTATCACTTACAATATTAATAATCAGAAACACCAAATTAACTTTCGGTCAGGTAGTTAAAAATTAAGGAAATACTTTTCAAAGAGTCCTGAATTTTATGAATTTCTTATTATACAATATTACTCTTTCAGGGCCTTAAGAGGGTTAAATAAAAAATAAACGAGTAAAAAGTCTGAAGGGCATTTAGAACCAGAATCACATTTCCATACAGAACATAATTATCCCTTACTGTGTAGCAGGCTCATTATCAATTTTTTAAGTATGAAAAAAGTCTTATGAAGTAACATAAATAAAATATTTTCTCTTTGGCATGTGAATACTGCATTGTTTTATATTGGCTAGCAAAATGTTCAGCAACTCATAAATTTAATATAAACCATTCTTTTCCTACTCTAGACTTCTTCTGAAAGTGATATACACTAAGAAATTCTGATACAAAATGAGTGTATGTTTACAAAATTCAACCAAAATGGTCTAGTTCTGAAAGTATAGCCTGATCTCAGAATTTTAAATATTTAGTACTGTATTTAATCTGTGATTCATTCATGTTCTCCTCTTTCAACTTTATTCTTTCTTGTTAACTCAATTTTATGGATATGTTCTCTGATAGGTTAAAGGGAGGTAAAATTAAGTATTAACCATTCTTCAATGAAATGGTAACACTAAGTGTGTGTTTACAATGCAAAGAAAGAGAGAAGGTGAGGGGGGAGTTTATCTAAGTATACCCTTTATGTGTGATGCTTTTGTTCTCTGACTCCTATTGTCATAACCAAGATTTGACTCATTGGCCAGAACAGACTTTACTGCTGGTCCAGATATGTCTATATACTGGGAAGTCCAACCAATTCTGGAATCAATTTTAACTTCTCAGGGTCTTATGCAGTACTGGTACGTATTAGGTTCCCAGTGAAAGTTGGTGGAATTGTTAATTCTTATTTCATAGTAGAAACTGTAGGCTAAACTTCACAATCATTTACTTATGGGTCACTCTGCCAAAGACTCTAATAAAAGGGGGGAGAACATGTATAGCTGTTTATAAAATTTTAAGTTTCACTGGGCATAAGCCATTGTCTGGGCAGCTAAGCACAGTACGGAGTTAGAGAAGGAATGAACTTGGTGGTACTCTTGTTCATCTGATCCTAAAATGAAAGAGGAAAGAAATTTCAGAGGCTGTAAATATTTTTTCAAAAGCAAAAGATTAAAAACAATTCAATACTTGAAGAACTGGCCAATGACCTTTTGAAACATTAACTTTATATGTTTTTGTTCCATCTATGCTTTTCAACCTTATGGCCCCAGGCCCTATTTGAAATAAACAAGAGCTCATCAATGAAACAATTACCCAAGTTTACTGGGTTTTTCAATTTCATGACTGTACAAGTCAAAATGATCATCTTCAGTTTGTTTCTTAAGAGTGGCTGATTACATCCCATTTACTGAGATGCTATAATTGGTACAGCACATATTCCTCATTCTCAGCCTCCCAGGAATTCCAGTATTACCTGTGCATGCAAATTACCTTCTTTCCTAGATGTAAACCTGAAATAGAAACTCTCTCTTTATGAAATTTTACACATTTGAGCTAAGAGCAGATATCAGGAGAGTGGGAAAATAAAAATTTTAAATGCAAATATTCACTCTTCTAAGTTGAGTGGGAAAAAAAATCCGGACAATATTAATCTTAGTAAACAAAGAAATCGATTTTTTAAAGACCCCTGGGTACTTTATGAATACTCATGCAATTTCTGTTTATGGAATTGGGAACCTACTATGAGACCTGCAATATCCTTGACATCCTGAAGGATTCGCAGAAAGAAATAATACTCTCTGGATAAAACAACTTGAAATATGTATGAGTCAAGGAAATATTTCAAGGCCAATCTTATATAGGGAAATAGCGAAGGTTAAGACCTAGAATTGGGAAGAAGCAAACCATTTTTCAGAACAGACATGTGGCTTGTCTGGAGTACTGAGAGAGAAGAGAAGATGACGACGTTGGAAACAGATTGCAGACCAGATTAGTGATAACTATAGAAGCTGGGATGAAGAGCACAGCCCTGGCCCCACTGTAAGACTGCCTAAATGTAAGACGAATATATCAAGAAGGTTTACCAGGAATATAAACTTGGTGGTGATCTGCAAAGTGATTTGGGAAATACTGGAAGCAAAGAGAAAAATAAAAGGCAGTTGAGACCCGCATCAAAGTCGTAGCAAAGAAAATGGGACTATGTGTTATTCTCCATTGGCATCTTAATGTTCCTGCTGTCTTGTCTTTCTTTCCTTCTGCCTTGGTTCTGGACACCAAGCCCTTTGGAGGCTATTCGGTACTTCACTAGTCTCTTCTCCCTAATCAGCCTAGCTGGCCTCCCCTTTTCTCACCATCACTGAACCCTGGACTGCTCCAGGGCTCTGTCCTTTGTTCTCTCCTCTGAATTTACCCTCACTTGCTGTGATCTCTGACTTTAAAAATAATATATTTCATGCCTGCAGTTCTCAGACTTTTTCCTTCATCTAAGACTCTGTCTTTTCCACTTGGGTGGCTAATTGACAAGTGAACTTTAGCATATCAAAAGCAGCACTCCAAACCTTTCCTTCTAAACTTGGTCCATTTTATAGTTTTCTCTCTGGGTGATGGCTCAGCCCTGTATCCTTTCCAGCATCAGCTCTAGACTTGGTTTCCATACTCCACGGCTAATCTTCCCATGAACTCTTCCCTTTATTCACCTTCTCAGCCGCGTTCAGGTTTTCCCTTTTGATCTGAAACCTAAAGCTGTTATTTCACCTCTGCTTCTAATACCTTCCTTAATTATTATAAATACAATGAAACTTGTATGATTTTACAGTTTATGGAAATACTAATATGTGGTCACTGCATTAAAAAAACTCATTAAAACAAAATGTAATGATATACTTTAGAAAGTGAAATGCCTCTCATGATTACTTTTTGGGAACCCATTGTTCATTTAGCTGGCTGAAAAAAATGAAATCAAATAAGATGTTGTCCTGTCTTTCAAGGACCTTGCAAGACTTAACATATCCTCCTCCTCTGCTAAGTAATGCAGCAGCTGTGCCATCGATATGATGTTTAGCTCAGTCCCTACTTGGAACACTAACCATCCCCATGGGCCAGGTCATGCTCCTGTCTCTGGGGCCCACTCCAGTCTCATGGGTGCAGACAACCCCCTGCATGAAGGATGAGGAAGTGAAAACAGTGGAGGCAGAATAGAGAGGCTGGATCAGGCCAGGAAGACCAAAAGCAAAAATTTGGCAAAGGCTGTTTCTGAGATAACCCATAAACTCGAAAATTATTAAGTCATGTCACCTGTAAATTAATAGCTTTGAGTATATGCCAAGATTTTGCCTTCTCAATAGATCTGCAAACTAAAGTCATTATTTCAAAGGAAAAAGAAGGAAGAAGAAAAAAAAGGAAAAATGAAAGAGGGAAGGAAGGAAAGAACAAAGAAGGAAAGAAGGCAAATTTCTCCCAAATGAGTGCGTAGTCTTAGCTACACATGAAAAACACACCCAGGAAAGGAAAGGGTCTTGACCCAGGCCAGAGGAAGCCCTAGAACAACTTTGATATATATTCGTTTGCTCTCAGCCTTCCCTGTTGTCCACGTTCTGTCCTCATCCTTTGACAGCAACATCCTGCATCCCCTCATTTCCCAGGAGAAAGAGATCAGAGGTGACGATTCACGTGAGTTAATGAATTCATTGTTTACACTTTGATCTTAGGCCTTTTATCTCTAACTGCGGAATGAATGTCTTTGTTCTACAGTAAATCATCTCAGGCTTTGCAGGAAAGGGTAAAAGGAATTATTCTATTTCCTTTCTCAAGAACCTCACTGCTCAAGTAGGAAGAGCCAGAACTGTCCTGGACAATAGCCAGAGAACTATTCTCAGGAACTACTGGGAATGGAAGAGCCTAAGTTCCCCAGCCCCAGATCGTCTCCATTCTTTACATACCAGACCTTCTCCCAGCTCTTCCTCCTTCCCTCTCTGCCAAAACGGATTCTGATCTCTCTTCTGGTCCCTTAGCTTTAGCCCTTCTCCAGCTTGCTGATCCACTATTCTAAGTCTCCTCAGAATTCACTCTATGGTTTTCATGGCTGGTATGAACTGATCTATGCCAGTTTGGTCGCAAAAAATCACTGAGTTCTTTTTGGTTGGTTATGATATTCACTAACGGTTGCAGATGGGTGTAACTAGTCTAGTAAGTTATGTTAAATAAAATAGATGGGAGGGTGTTGAATGGACTGAGCTCCCACACTAAGCTTCAGTGAACCAAACCAAAATGGGGTCACTTATGCTAAAGGTCCATATCACAAAGCTAAAACTAAGTTATCTTCTGAGAAATCAGGACACAGAGAAAACAAAATACCCAAAACAGCCAGTGTTAGCCTACATGGTCAGGAAGTTGCCTCTGATTTAACATTCTAAGGAAAGTAACTTTGAAATTATTTGCTTTTCCCTGTTATTGTTTTCTTCAGTCCTTTTTTGCTTATAAAACCACCCTCTCATGCTCAGCTTATGGGAGAAATTTTTATAATTCATTTTTTTATTTACTTCTATTCATTTAATTTTTATTTTGGGGACAGAAATGCTACTCTAATTCATGAATCTCAAATAAAAGCCAATTGGGTCACTTAACTAAATTTATTGTAATTTGGTCTTTTGACATTTATAATGAAGGCAAGACTCCTACAAAGTACTGTGATAATATAGATGTTTTATTAGTAATACAGACATTTGATTAACAAGTTTTAAAAGTTTTTTCCATATTCTTGATAAATTCTAATTCTCCAAAAATGTATATGTTCCTAGTAAACCTTTTGTACCAGTGTTACTTAAGGCAGACATGATAACAATCTAAAATAGTAATTCTCTGGAAATATATTTTTAAAGTTCATTGAAGACTCGAAAGAGATTGCATCTATGTTTTATACCTATAGATATTTAAGGTATTAGAAAACAAATCCAGGAACTTCTACAAACCTAAACATCCATCCCACTAGAAGCCAGGGGAGTCACCTTTTCATATTTCATGTGAGAAACATATGATATCATATGTGAAACATGATATGGGAGTCTCTGGAAAACTCCACTGTAGATTGACTCATGGAAGAATGAGTGAGAAAAAAATCAAACATAACCCCAGTATGACTAGGAAAATAATTTTAACCTCATGGACCTGGGAAAACCCCAGAGGTCCCTGAACCCAACTTAAGAGGATCA